ATATATTTGTTTATTTATTTTGTTGGTCATAATGTATTTAGCGCCTAATGAAATAAAAGGCCGCTGTGTTTCAGCAACTAGGAAGAATGAATGAAGTCATGAACTGTTACGGTGCATATCCTTTGAGCCAAGTAATTTTATACAAAGCATTTACTACTCTTAAATATAAAAGAATTTGATAAACTTTAGTTTAAGATGTCTCAGTAAGTACCAATCGATCCTTTAAACGAGCTAAATGTTAGCATCATGCTAATGAACGGCGCTGCAACAGCACACGATATCATACAAACCCAAACAATGGAACAACACATTTAAAAAAGGGATAATTGGGTATACATCTATTCGTTAGTCAACCACAAAACAAAATATAATTAATGTATTGGTTAAAAAACTAGTTATGTCCAAGATCACTACTTACCCAAACGAAAACAGCACGCAAAGATAAATTTCGTTTACGCATGCGCCGCGGCAGAGTCAAACTGATGGTTTTTCAGTACATCGCCCCCTAACGGATAGGAGAATGTAAATATTGTAGTCCAAATTACACAAGTAGACTTCATCTGGCTGGAAATCAGAAAATATAGGGATATTGGATCTGCATACATTACAATAAGAGTACCAGGAAAAATAAAATATTTTATAAACCTCACTCCGACCATCATAACCATTTTACTTGCAATACTTTTCCCGACCAATAAGTGGCGATAACGCAGTTTTCAGTTGTTTCAATGTCCACCGTAGAAGAAGAACCAGAGAGCGAGACGAGTCTCGGCCTCCTAAGTGTTCAAAAACATCGAGTAACATTTTCAGGACATCAGATAAGAAAACAGGGAAGTCGACTGCATGATTTACATCAAAACTGCAGCGCTGTGTTACGGTTTGACAACTTCCTTGAAATGTTTTCGGTCGGACAGACGGACCAGTTGTAGACATAAATACATGTCTGTGGGTGTAGTGTTCTGACTTGACTGTTTTCAACGTGATGCGTTTCAACGAGAAGGAGATGGTGTCTCTGAGCCGTCAGCCTTCAGAGATGGCAGCTGAACTTGGAATGCGAGGTCCTAAGAAAGGAGACGGTTTGTCACTTTCTGTTTTCTTTTTGGTTGATGCATTTTTAGCAGAAGGTTAAATTAGCATATAGTGTTCGTGCCACTCATTTAGCTGATGTACTCTAAATGTAATTATTTTTCTGTCCTTTTGTTTTGCAGTTGTCAAGAGGAGGCTTGTGAAGCTCATCGTTAACTTCCTCTTCTACTTCCGGATTGATGAGGAGGAGGTCAGCTGAGTTATCAAACTGTATTCAGTCTTTGTACCACTTTGACATAAACGCTGAGGTGTGTGTTTGTTTTTAATGCAGCCTGTTGGAGCTTTGTTGTTGGAGCAGTGTCGGGTGGAGAAGGAGGACAATCTGACCTTCTCTATTGGTGAGCCCCAGCATCCTCATCATCACTTCCACACTGACTCTAAACTCCTGTTTTAAGAGATGTTCACATGTCTGTGCTTTTCTTCCTGTAGCATTTCTAGATGAAGCAGAGAGAAAATATGTGTTTGAATGTGGCTCTGAGGAGCAATGTAAGGAGTGGATAGACTCTATTATCAAAGCAAGGTAAAGCTTACTCTAATTATTCCTTTTCACAGCAAAACTGTTGGGTAGAGCTGGTGTTAATGTTAATCCAGAGTGATTTGATGTCAAGTGGACAGAGCTAAATGTATCTGAATCTGATCTAATCTAAGTAAAAATAGGGTTGAACTTTCAGTTTGAGTCGGTCCTCTATCCTGAGCAGGGGTTGACATAAGTGGTTTGTTTGTCCGAGACAACCTATTTTCGTCTTGGACAACCAGATCTTGTCTCGAGGTTGTCCGGTGGACAGTCAAGTGAAATAGACATGAATTAAAATGATCCGTTGCCGCAACAGATTTCTGTCATCTGTAAAAATGAAAGGGAAAGTATGTGTTTTGTTGCAGTCTTTTGAAAGCCATCCAATTTAACAATAATACTGGGATTAAACGGATGCTGCTTTCAACAAATGAAGAGAACCAGAGCCACAGTTTGACCCAATCAGACCAGGGCAGGTTGTGTTTGATACACAGTGGGTGTGACCAGTGTTCTCAACTTAGGGATAGATGTAGGTGAGAGCACCAATCAGTGTTTCCTGTATTATTTTCCAAGGAGGACACCCCACTACCCTAACTGAAAGTGATGATGTAATAAATTAAACGTATTAAACATGTGTGTTCGCACGTGACCAATTCACTGCAGCTAGGGGAGATATCAGAGCTGATACACCATTACTCCCACCCACTCCTCTTGCACCGAGCCCTGACCTCCCAGGGACTTTTTGCATCTAAAATCTAACTTTATATTAAACATTAATGTGCCCTGAGTGTCATAATCTTAATGCAGATGTGCAATCTGCATGTGACCAAACCCCGGGTCCAAGAGAGAGTGCACATACTGTTGCGGGAGCGAGCTCAGCTTGTTTGATTTTCTCTCATGGTGAGAGGCTATGTATGTTGCCTTAGTTCTTATAATTAAAGTATAATGCTAAAAGACAAATATTTATAAGCCCCAGGTTATAGCAAAAAAAGTTGTTCAAAACTCCTCTCTTCTTTTGTAATTCCATTGGTCCTGATGATGCAGGTTAAAGTCTTTTTACAACTTCAACACTTCAGTAGAGAGCACAACACTGTGTACTTTTACTAAGGTCATGTATACACAGTATATTCCACTTTACATGAAAACCTTTGAGAAATGACCTGTATGCAGGGAAACGCTCTAGAATGGTGTGGTATTGGGGGTGGGGAGTGTGCTTGGGTAACCTCTAGGTGGAGGAAAAAGTCCAGCTTTCTTCCTGCTGTAATCTCTGCCTGACAAGGAAGGATGAGGAGAAGGATGAAGTTCCACTGGAGCATTTCCTGAAAGAGTCAGCCCCTCAGCAGCTTGGAAATTTCAAGCAGTCCACAATATGGCTGATGGAGAACATTTATATAAGTAAACTTTGTCTATATTGCAATAAATTATTAAATTACATTTTTCTTGAGGTTTTTTTTTTTTTTTTTTTTCTTTTTTATTGTAAAGATTGTGGATGACCAGATTCTGTCAAGATGGTGTCTGCTGGACAACCTGAAAAATGTCCTTATGTCCACCCCTGCTGAGTATTCTGACGGTGGTGGTTGAGTGTAATGGAAAGAGCTCATAATTATCAGCTACAGTGAGGAAAATAAGTATGTGAACACCCTGCGACTTTGCAAGTTATCCCACTTAGAAATCATGGAGGGGTCTGAAATTTTCGTCTTTGGTGCATGTCCACTGTGAGAGACATAATCTAAATGAAAATAATTGGAAAACACAATGTATGATTTGTTAATAATTTATTTGTGTGTTACTGCTGCAAATAAGTATTTGAACACCTTTGAAAATCAATGATAATATTTGGTACAGTAGCCTTTGTTTGCAGTTACAGAGGTCAAAAGTTTCCTGTAGTTGTTCACCAGGTGTGCAAACACTGCAGCAGAGATTTTGGCCCATTCCTCCACACAGATCTTCTCTAGATCAGCCAGGTTTCTGGGATGTCTCTGAGAAACATGGAGTTTGAGCTCCCTCCAAAGATTTTCTATAGGGTTTAGGGCTGGAGACTGGCTAGTTCACTCCAGAACCTTGATATGCTTCTTATGGAGCCACTCCTTGGTTCTCCTGGCTGTGTGCTTCGGGTCATTGTCATGTTGGAAGATCCAGCCACAACCCATCTTCAATGCTCTAACTGAGGTCATGGGCAAACTTAAGACGGGCCTGGACGTGTGCTGGTTTAAGCAGGGGAACCTTCCGTGCCATGCATGATTTTAAACTTTGACGTCTTAGTGTATTACCCACAGTAACCTTGAAAACAGTGGTGCCAGCTCTCTTCAGGTCATTGACCAGCTCCTCCCGTGTAGTTCTGGGTTGATTCCTCACCTTTCTTAGACTCACTAATACGCCACGAGGTGAGATCTTGCATGGAGCCCCAGTCTGAGGGAGATTGACAGTCATGCTTAGCTTCTTCCATTTTCTAATAATTGCTCCAACAGTTGATCTTTGTTCACCAAGCTGCTTGGCAATTGCCCTATAGACCTTTCCAACCTTATGGAGGTCTACAATTTTGTCTCTGGTGTCTTTGGACAGCTCTTTGGTCTTAGCCATGTTAGTAGTTGGAGTCTTACCGATTGTGTGGGGTGGACAGGTGTCTTTATGCAGCTAACAAGACGCTTCTAATTTAGAATAATGATTGGAAGTGGACTTTTTAGAGGCAGACTAACAGGTCTTTGAGGGCCAGAATTGTTGCTGATTGACAGGTGTTCAAATACTTATTTGCAGCAGTAATACACAAATTGTTTTTAAAAAAATCATACATTGTGATTTCCGGATTAGGTTTTTTAGATTATGTCTCTCACAGTGGACATGCACTTAAGATGAAAATTTCAGACCCCTCCATGATTTCTAAGTGGGAGAACTTGCAAAGTAGCAGGGTGTTAGAATACTTATTGTCCACACTGTAAATTCAGGAAGTGTGGCACAATACACATACGTGTATTTGTTTGTGGCTGGGCTCAGTTGATTTGGTTCAATATACTTCAACATACTGTCTTTCTTAATGCTTGTTAATTACATTCTGGACAAAACTGGCACATTATGACAAATGTATCAAAATAGTGTCAGAATAAAAAACATTTCATATAATTTGATTTGAACCGAAGTTAAACATTTATCATAAATGTGCTGCCTGCAACAAGCCTACATGTGGTCCCAATCTTGTCTGTATGTACTTTAAAGTTGTGATTGAATTCCACCCCTCATTGAATGAAATGTCGTTTTCTGCAGTTACGAGTTTATGAGGAGGAATCTAATTTATTATCGAACAGAAATCCACAGGCTCACTGGGAAGGTAAGACTAACAGCGGCAGGTTTGTTTCAAACTGCCTCAAATCATACCTCAGAAATGTGCAGTGTGAGTTGTTTGATTTAAAATGAATTAAATCTGTTTAGGTTTGACAGTGTTTGCTCATTTTTGCTTGTTTAAGTTTAAAATTTTGGGTAAAGTATGCTTGAAGATTTTAGGTAGAAACTTCAAACTCCTTGTTTCTCTGGATGTTCCACATGCTTTTACAGTTGATTACAGTTCAGTGACGGCACTGTAGGTAAAGCTGCTGCCTCTCAGCGAGCAGGTCGCGCCGGTTCAAATCCTGGCCCAGGGCCTTTCTGGGTGGAGTTTGCATATTTCTCTGTGTGCATGTGTGGGTTTTTCTCCGGGTACTCCAGTGTCCTCACACAGACCAAAAACATGCATGTTGGGCTGATTGGTAACTAAATTGTCCCTAGGTGAGAGTGAGAAAGTGCATGGTTGTTTGTCTCATTGGTCTATGTGTCCCTGTGATGGACTGGAGACCTGTCCAGGGTGCACACCGCTTCTTGCACAGTGATGGCTGGAAATTGGCACCAGTGATCCCCGCAACCCGAAAATGAAGAAGTGGGTAAAAGATAATAGATGGATGAAACTGTCAATAATAAATTAACTTAAGCAGAATAAACATTAGCTACAGTTTCATTCATGCATCCGCACTGGACCAAAAGCTGAAGTGAAACTCCTAAATTTCCATAAACAACAATTAGACTAGTACGAGTACAAACTGCAGCGCTAGAGTTAAATGCCACTTAGTTCTTGTGTTTGTCTTTTGCCATTTTGCTGAACTATCTATTTAATGTCAAGTTTAATTCTTCTTCAATAAATGAGTAATAAATGAGAGAAGGCTATATTTCTTCCAGTCTGTTCTCACTGCCTGCTTTCTCCACAGGACCCCTTGGAACAATATGGTATATCTGATGAAACTCGTTTCCAGGTCAGCAATGGTCAACAGCTCAAACCCAGAGATACATCCTCCCTGTAGACCAGCCTTGTGTTCTAAATGTGAAAATTTTAGTCCACTCTGCCATTCCAATTGTAATTATTTTTATTTCCGTAGCCTCAGCATTACTGCAGACACTCCAGCTTTTTACATTTGGTAGCCTTACCTTAGACTTTTATAAACCTTGCAACAAGAATTTCTTTCAATGTGCAAAGTACACATCTTTTCTACTGTGTTGTCATTTATTACAAATAGCACATTTTACATACACAATTTTCAGTTTTGTCCTATTAAATCAGTTGACTTAAAAACATTATTTTTGTATTTTTCTTCCTCTGAACATGCTGTACACACAGAATGTAATATTGAGAAGCTATGATTGTTCTTAAGATAAGTGTTTTTTTCTGAGAATCATTTAGCATGAATGTGAGTCAATTCAAGATATTTGATGAAACCGAGTAACTTCATCTACCTTACTCCTCTTTAATTGGAGTAATGCAGTATAATGGTCCTAATTGGAATTGTTCTTTTTTTTTTTGTTGCTATTTCTCTGTGTATTTACTGTATATTAATTTTAAAATGTTGCACATATTACTGGGAAAAGAGTCTATTTTTTATTAGAATTATGCCACTTACTTGAACTTTGTCTAACTTTTGTTTCACTGTGAATCACATCCTTTTAGCTATGCTGTTGGACAATTTATGACACCAGATTCTTGAAATAAATGCTTCAAAATTACACCATTATTTGGAAGCTTTGCTCTTAGCCATATTTTCTCATAGGGCTTTGCTGTATTAAATAAACTGGTGAAATATTTATGTTGTTAGTCAGAAATAATAAAATATGTCACTGAATGTCTTTTATTTTTAACTTTTTGCTTAATGACCAAATATATATATTTGCCTAGTTTTAGTACACTTGTTCCACTCACATACAAATAAAGTAATTTGGGGAAAAAAATGTTTTGGTTTAAATTTTTTATGTGCATTTTTGTTGAAAGTCTCAAACGCATTTTTGTTCGTCGCCTGGCACTTCCTGGATTCCGTACAGATGTTCCCTTGGCAACAAAAAATGTTGGGTTCAAAAGTAGTGACGTCACATTCTTCCCGTGGTGCTTTGCGAACCTAAATTGAATGCTCGGGAAAAGAATATTTGTATTCTGTAAATTCGGTGTTCAACCTTGAAAAAACGCATAAATCAGGAGACATTACAACACGGTCAGACACACTGAAAGCATCGCTTAACGGCCTGTAAAGGCGAGATACTACTGGGGAAGAGGTAGGTCTTCTGACAAGTGTAAATTGTGAACAGTGTTGACAAAGCATTAGCCCTGCAGCTAGCGTAAGTTACGGTAAATCTAGCGGAGCTAACGTTAGCTTAGCTCTGTGCTAGACGATTGAATTGTTTATTAATCATTTTGGTTTAAGGATTGTAGACCATCGATAAACATTATAGTTTTAAGATAGTTTGTGCTGTTGGGCAAATTTTCTAGTCAAGTTCGTTTACTCTGCGATTAAGTGCTGTTAGCATTAGATCGAGCTCAGCCATGGATAAACTAAGCAACCCGTAAAGGCACTCCTTCTTGGTTTAAAATTAACCTTATTTCAATCTAGGATGAAACAACGGCTCCAGAGTTTAATGCTCTTGGTTTCATTGTTTTCAATGTGTTTTTAAATAACATAATTTACATACAGGTCTCTCTTGGAAATCAATGAGTCCTCGTGACTCAATGAGACTAACCTGTATAAATAAAGGTTGAATGAATAATTGCATCATGCGTTTGACAATCATGTATAAGATAAGATTCAGAGATGATTCGCCGGTATTAATAGTGATGTAAATGTACTGAATGACAGGTGGCTTATGAAAAGGCATGATTAATATGGGTGCTCATTAGATCATACAAGATGGGGGTTTGTGTTTGTGCTACCATTTCATTGTTGTTGTCTTGTTTTCAGACATCATGGATCAAGACTATGAGTGCAGGCTGCTAAGACAGATTAATATCCAAAATGAGAATGCCAGCCCTATAGTAAGTAATGCACACAGTATTGTTTTGTTTTTTAGTCTTTTTTTATTTCCCTTTGTCATTGTTCAACAGAAGCAATTTCCCCCCTGAATCTATGGTTTCTAAGCTTAAAAGTAAAACATGCCATTTGTCCAAAAAAGTAATTAAAGATTAAATGTAATTGTCACGCTGGACATATAAATAAAAAGTACATACCGGTATTTTAAAGGCTGTTTGTACACTAGTAGACACCCCTTTTTCAGAATAAGCTCTATTTTTCTTTCAGTGTCCTGGCTCTGTGTAGACACATTATCATTTCTTAGTAGTTTTGTTTTTGACCTGGTTTAATGACCTGCCCTTGGCCCTTTCTGTCCTAGGATACATGTGTGTTGTGCCAGTGATGTTTTTATGCTTTTACCTGCTGTTCTGATGGAGTTGCTGGGATTTGGTTTAAAATTGCAGCCTACCACTGACATATTTGATTCAGAACTTTCTTTACATGTCTGGATGTACGGAATGACCATTACTAGTGGTGCACCGATTGCAGTTTTCTGGACGATTTCTAAAAAGTCTGACCTGCCGATACCGATTTTGTTTTATAAGCGACACTGTCAGGTGTTATAAGGTCACAATGCACCTTCAATTCTCCAATCTTATTTTACTGAAAAACATACCCTTGAACAATCCTAGAACCAATGCAAACTTGTTTTAACTGGCCATGAGGTAGTGCTCTGAAATATAAATGAAGTTTAGACAATTGTTGTGAAAACTAAAAAAAATCTGTAAAATCGCTTTCTCATACAAGTATCGACCGATTTCCCAAAATTAAAGAAATTGGGGCTGATAAATCGGTGCACCCCTAACCATTACTGTACTACTTGTTTTGATTCCATTTTATATCGATTCCAAAGAACTAAAAATAAGTACATTAAGTATATTTTACAAACATTTTGATGAGTTTAGTTAATTCATGTAGCTCCAAATTGTTACAAAATACATTTAAAGGGATTACATGCAAAGTTCAGTTAGTCCATTTCAATAAGATGATGGGTTCATTTCCATACAATTGATGTTATTTGTAATTGTAAAAAGTTAAAACGGTTAAGAAATCTGATAATTACATCATATTTTTCTTTAAATCAAGACCCAGATTTTAGAATGCAAGGGGCAGCATGCAATCCAAGATCAGCGGCCATCTGCCTCAAATAGTATGATTAATTTATCATCATCATGTTTATTGGAGTATAAATACCACCTCCTTAAAGGATTATAACATAGCACATGACATGACTTAAAATGGGCAAAAATGTTGTTACTATTGTTGCAAAAAGTTTAACAAGCCAGTTATTGGACAGTGTCACAAGAGTGGAACAAAAACAAGACCTTACCAGCCAAATGACTGGCTGTTGCAATTGCTGCCTCCTGTTGTTAACACCTCAAATGAATGCACCATCTGCCACATAAATTATCCTCCTGTTTTGTTATTAAGATTTCAAATTTCTGTCCAAGGCCAGTTTCTGTTTGGCCCCCTGTCAGAAAATGCTCTCTCTCCTCTTCCCCTCGTGTAGAAAGCTGTGGGAGCAGTGCGAACTCTGACACCCACCAGCTCCCCCTTGTCCTCTCCTAGCAAGCATGGCGATCGCTTTATTCCCTCCCGGGCAGGAGCCAACTGGAGTGTTAACTTCCATCGTATTAATGTGAGTCTGCTGCAAAACACCAACTATCTGTCCTACCAAAAGCACAATACTTTCAGAATGCTCTGTATGACCAATAAGCAAACACATTTCTTTTTTTTTTTTTGATATGCTATCAGTTTGTAATTCACTACTTTACTCATTATGTGTAAATATTTGGTGTGTTTATTGATTTAATTTTCTGAACCAGGAAATAGAAAAGTCACACAATCAAAACAGGAAAACCAAAGATGGAACCACTGACAGCAACAAAGGTAACTGATTGCCTTTGTGCTGATTGATATTCTTTTCTCCTAGTCTGAACTTCATAACATGCCACTCCAGGCCAGGATGATGTTTTCTGCTGCTTGTTGCTGAACAAAGCTGATGTAAACTTGGCTGTTTAGGATTGCCTATTTAAATGTGATTTGACCTCGATAAAAAGTTTGTATTGCACAGGAAAGATGAGAAAATGCAGAGCAATGGTCTTCTTTTTAACCTGTTCTGCTCTGTTTTGTGGAGTTTTTATTAAGGCTTTTATGTTTTATCTATTAAAGCTATGTTAAAAGTTTGAGCATTTTTGTGTCAAACTGACAGGAAGTAACATTTTAAATAGTCTAGGGAATATATGACTCACATGGGGTTAGCTAAATTTCATTAGGAGTTCACTATTTTACTCTGGAAACCTGTAATAAAAACCCTCAATGTGAAGCAACAAAGACTGATATGGAAAAAAGTGCCTTTAGCTACTTAATTTGGTAAATCATCTCTGTAAGAACTTCCTAAATATCACTGATAACCTCAGAAAGTACCATGAATTTGACTGAAATTTTTGTTCCTCACTCATTTTCTTCTTTTGTATCTGTACTTTTAGTGTGAGTTTCATTCAACTTCGTTTTCTTGGGTTTCTGTGCCTACTCAAATCAATTTTAGATAATTTGACCTTCTCTTGTTTACTGAGCATAAGAGGGTTTATGAATAGAGGAGGCAGGGACTAAACATAGCTGAGTGGGGAAAAAAGTCCCTGATCCTTAGAAGTGTGAGAGAGAGTTATGAAATTGCAGAGGGAGTTCAATGTTTGAACTTAATCATTTCGACAGCCTGGTTTGATTTCCCCTCTGTCTGTTCCTCTGTCTTTAGTGGATGGTCTGGCTTACTCTGCTCTGCTGAAAAATGAGCTTCTAGGCGCAGGCATTGAAAAAGTCCAGGACCCCCAATCTGAGGATCGTCGATTGCAGCCCTCTACGCCTGCCAAGAGAAGCCTATTTAATGTAAAACAGACAACAAAGCTAATATTTTCTTTGTTCATATTTGTGGCATTTCCCCATGATTATTAATGAGCTGCTTGTGTTTTGTAGTATTCTATAAGTACTAAGAGGTCTTTGCCAGAAGAAGATGGAAATTCAGTTTCTCCATATTCTTTATCACCTGTCAGTAGTAACAGGTAAATATATTTTGGTGTTAATTAAATAATGTTTATTTGTTTGTTTGGGCAAAAGTATTGTGATGTTTGTCACTCTTGTGTTCTGCATTGCAGTCAAAAATTACTACGGTCACCAAGAAAGCCTACACGCAAAATTTCCAAGATTCCTTTCAAAGTTCTTGATGCTCCAGAGCTTCAAGACGACTTCTACCTCAACCTGGTGGACTGGTCCTCCTTAAATGTGCTCAGTGTTGGACTGGGTACCTGTGTTTACCTGTGGAGTGCCTGTACCAGCCAGGTGTGTGCTGCCTGTTGACGCTGAAATTCATAAATGTCAAACAAATCTAACAGGAAACTCTGTCACTGGTTTGATATTGTTCATATTTAGAACTAAGAGTTTACTGCACAGTATTTAATATTTTTTTCTGTTCTTAGGTGACCCGTCTTTGTGACCTCTCTGTGGAGGGAGATTCAGTAACATCAGTGGGATGGTCCGAGAGGGTAAGGCTTTTATTTCCACTGTTTATAGAAACTGTTATCAACAAGACTGGTTAGTCACACAAATTCACAATTTGTAATTTCGTCATATATTTTAATTTAGTGGTGCACACAGAAAGCATGGACTTCTCCATCAGATTGAAATGTTTTCTGTTTTTTTTTTTTTTTTACTTGATTTGCACTTGAGATTCTACCTTGCAGCTAAAAATATAAATACTTAATGTGTTTAGATTGCAGTGTATTAGGTTTGGATTTTACCTGTCTTGTGTGTTTTCTGTTTTCAGGGTAACCTGGTGGCTGTGGGCACTCACAAAGGCTATGTGCAGATTTGGGATGCAGCCGCAGGGAAGAAGCTCTCCGTACTCGAGGGACACACAGCCAGAGTGGGTGAGTTGACAGTCAGTGGAGCTGTGAGGATGAAGATGTTAAAATATTAGATTTTAAGCAATTGATTAGCAGCACCTCTCATTCATGGTTGGTGAATCACCTCCTGTTCAGTTTACCTTCCATTCTTCTCTGCCAGGTGCTTTGGCGTGGAATGCGGACCAGCTGTCATCTGGGAGTCGTGATCGCATAATTCTGCAGCGGGACATCAGAGCGCCACCTCTTCAGTCAGAACGCCGTCTCCAAGGGCACAGACAGGAAGTCTGTGGGCTCAAGTGGAGCACAGACCACCAGCTGCTGGCTTCAGGTGGAAATGATAACAAGGTACACAGGCTGAGACTCTTGCCTGTTTTTTTTTTTTTTGCCAGCTGCACATCTGCGTCAGATCACCAACTTGCTTCTGTATCATGCATTTGTTATTCTAATGTTTCAACCTGCTGTCTGCAGTTACTTGTGTGGAACCACTCAAGCGTTCTGCCGGTGCAGCAGTACACAGAGCACTTGGCTGCAGTGAAGGCCATCGCCTGGTCGCCTCACCAACACGGCCTGTTGGCCTCCGGAGGTGGGACAGCTGATCGCTGCATCCGTTTCTGGAACACCCTGACCGGCCAGCCCCTGCAGTGCACCGACACCGGCTCTCAAGTCTGCAACTTGGCCTGGTCCAAACACACGAATGAACTGGTGAGTCTACTTAAATATTTACACAAGTTTAGATGTATAAAATGAAAGCAATGCTAATGTGATAGGCTAGCTTTTCTGTGTGCTGGAAGAGGCTATTTTTTTTCTGGTTGTATTTTAAACTAGCAGCCCAAACACTTTGTTTTTTGCAGGTCAGCACACATGGTTATTCACAAAACCAGATACTGGTGTGGAAGTATCCCTCCTTAACTCAAGTGGCTAAACTCACAGGACATTCCTACAGAGTGCTCTACCTGGTCAGTAAACACTGGGCATGTTTTTTTGGGGGTTTTTTTTTCTGTTCAGAGTAATGAATATAAAAACCAATATTATACTGGAAGCTTCAGTGGATGGTAATACCATATCTAAAAAAAGGAAATAAACATAACTGAAAATACTATAGTTAATTATGTCAAAATTATAAGCAATTGTTAATTTTTGAAGATAATAAAATGTAATTAATATGAACTTTGCATCAAAAGCATCTTTCAGTTCCTGAGTATGATATGAAAACGCACCTTTTCTGAAGATATGAAGAACATTTAGCATGTTTTTATGCACACTTCTGATTACTCTGATCACACAGTACTGCAGTGTTGTATACTCTGTGTAATACTGAGTTTTGTGCAGGCCATGTCACCTGATGGAGAGGCCATTGTGACGGGGGCGGGAGATGAAACCCTTCGGTTCTGGAATGTCTTTAGTAAGATGAGATCTACTAAGGTATGGATTCGTCTTGCACACCTTGCACTGTTTTTTTTAGTCTGTTTAAATTAGTTCTCATGGTTTTTGTCTTTCCTCTTAGGAATCGGTCTCAGTGTTGAACCTCTTCACCAGGATCCGGTAGTCTGCATTGTAGTGAGAGTAATAACGGGAAGGGACTTGACTCTGCATGCATCAAGTTGTTCGTGGGCCTCTTTGAATATTAACGTCGGCCATCTTCAGAGGCTTCAGCTACTGATCTTAGTTTATTTAGCCAAGTTGTAGCTGATGTTGGGAGGAGCTGAAGAGTTGCACAATCAGACTTTCAAGGGCTGAGGAAATCGTATGGCACACAGGAATTCATTTCCACCTGAATTATGGAACCACTGCCTCTTCAACCAGACCTGTGATCCCTGATGATCAGGAGCGTTTCAGGGCCGTTTGTGTGGTTGTTTTGTTTACAAACTGACTTTGTGCATACCTGCCAAATATATTGAGTTTATCCTTTTTGTTTGTGTATTTATTTTTTTCTTTTTATTCTTACGAGTCTGCTTGTTTAAAAGATCGGTGGGGTTTTATTTTCACGTCCAAAACTGCAGATTTCAGTCTCACCTCTGAGCTAACTTTGATTTCTCCTCATTTACTGAAAATATTCATGTCATTTATTTTTTTTGTTTATTCCTGTTTTTATGAGTGACAAAAATATGTTGTGGACACTGATATTGGAATATATAAACCACTGAGACCTGGTGGGGGTCAAAAACTACATGAAAAGGCCTTGTTTTATTATTTTATCACTTATTGGGTTAATTTTAACCCACTAAATGTTCAATGATTGTTTTATAATCTCATAGGAAAAAGACTATGGGGAAACTGTACATAAGAAAAATCGTTACAAAAGTAATCCATATATCATTTTAATGTGACTTGTATGATTTTTTTTTTTCATGTTCCTTTAGAGAATTTAATAAGGAAGATTAAAAAAAAATATGTTGGCCTGTCAGTGTAGTTCATAACAAAAGTGCAGTTTCAAAGAAAAGGAATAAACCAGTTAGTTAAATGTTGTGTGCAGAAGTTCTGATTTGTCAGAGTTTCTTTATTTGTCATTTGCACCACACGTGTTACATGCGGAACGAAATTGTGTACACAGGGTCCAAGTTGCATCCAACAATAAAATGTAAAAAGAAAAACAGTAATAAGATCTTAGCTATGAACTAAGAAAAACTAACTAAAACTACACTAAGCACTAATAGCATAAAAACAATACGCCGAACAGCAGCACAAACATGAGTCTGAACAGATGAGCAAGAATGAACACGTGATTTTTTACAGTGATAATCCTGGTTAGAGATTCATGAGTCTAACAACCTCAGGGTAGAAGCTGTTCCTCAGTCTAGCGGTTCTACTCTTAATGCTCCTCAGCCTCCTTCCTGAGGGGAGCGGAGCAAAAAGTGTGTGCTGGGTGAGTGGGGTCCTTCATGATGCAGGTGGCTCTCTTCCTGCATCTAGATGTGTAAATGTCTGTGATGGTGGGGAGACTGACTCCAACAGACTTCTGTGCAGCCTTCACCACTCTCTGCAAAGCTTTTCTTTCTGCAGCTGTGCAGCCTCCATGCCACACGTTGATGCTGGAGCACAGGATGCTCTCCACTGCACACCTGTAGAAGGAGGTGATTTTGTGGCTAAAATATTTTTGGTTATTTGTTAAACTGGGGTGGAGATAATTTGATGGTTTACAGAACTTGTCTGACGGGGTTTAGGGGAATTTTAACAGCTTAACCTTGTGTACTTGAGGTTGCCTCAAAACTATGCTGCCAATTTACACAAATGTTTAAAATGAGGTGATATAGGTTTTTAGACTTGATGTACAAATTAGTGACATAATTCTGTCAATTGTGCTGTGATTTACATTAATTTCCTCAACTTCTCGATCATATTTAAGCCTTTCTTTAAACTTTGCTATTGTTCTAAACCGAACTCAGTCACCAAAATTCTAAAGTACAGTATGTACACTAGTACAGTTGACAGTAACATGTATTCAGGTATTACATTTATACTTGGTGACATGGTGAAACAGAGGGTAAAGCTGTCACTTCTCAGTGAGAAGATTGATAAAATCCTGGCTGGAGGGCCTTTTTGAGTGGAGTTTGCATGTTCTCTCCGTGCATGTGTGGGTTTTCTCCGGGTACTTCAGTTTCCTCCCACAGAACAAAAACATGCATGTTAGGCTGACTGGTAACTAAATTGTCCCTGGGTGTGAGTGAGCGAGTGAATGGTTGGTTGTCTTGTTTTTCTTTGTGTCCCTATGGACTTGTGTGCCCCATGTCTCACACAGTGACTGCTGGATATGGACATGAGCGACTCCCACAACCTGGAAATGAAGAGTAAAGAATGGATGGATGGACACTAATACTGAAGCTTGTTAAGCTTAATATTAGACAAAACTAAACCTCTAAAAAAATGTGGGTAAAAATAGATACACAGTTTTTATTAATCTAATTCTCAAGACCTAATTAAAAGGCCTTTAAGGTTTTAGACACAGGTAATGTGACCTAGAGAAAAAAGGAACGGCACCACGTCATTAGTAGGCCTGCCGCGATAAACAATAAATCAATTAATCACATGATAAATGAAAATTATCGACCTCATTTTCATTTATCGGCTCTGTTTCTTCGTGTCTCTCTTTCTAGGCCTAGTAATTAGTGAGTTATAGTAAGACTAAATGTATTAAAATAAAGCCATCACAGGTGGTCAGTATTGATGCCCATCAATCTGATTGGTTTTAAGACTTTCTAACACAGAGCCATCATTCGCAGTGATGAAGATTGTTTATTACTGTCAAACATCTGCAGAATGTGGAGAAAAGTTAAGGGAGAAAAAATATCTAAGTTTAGAAATTCATCTTAAACTCTCCAGATCTCATTAAAAATTAGATGCTAAAATTCATGATAGTGCAAGTAGACAAATATACAAGAGGTGCAAATTGAAATAATTGCTGGAGAATGTCTCTTAAAAGCATAAACTGGCTGCAAAGTTGCAGAACGAACCCAAAGTATTTGGAGCAATATAGAATATCAACACAAACCTTTCTTACCATCTGTTCAGCACGGCGTTGGAAGAATGATGATTGGGCTAATTGTGATGCTATGAGTCCTGAGCAGCATGCAGTCACTGAGCAAACCATGAACTCCTCTGTATAAAGTATTCCAGAATCAAATACGGGCCATCTGTGTGGCATCTGAACCATGGAGGACATTTGGACCCAGCAGTGCAATGATACACTCAGCTGCTAATAAAGACATAAACAAATCTTGGTGTTGAAATTATTTAGTCTTCAACCTGATTACAACGTCCAGGCAGAACATATGGCTAAGAACGTACCTATGTTGATTATTGCTGCTAAAGATGCTTCTGGAAGACTCAGTCTTTTCTACACATGCCTGCCTACCTTTACTTTTTGGCTCAGTTGTTTGTTAATCAGTAATATTTTGTGTGATATTTTAAAACATGTAAAGGACTACATTTAAATATAAATATTTATGCACTGTACTGTTGAATCATCAGCTGTCCTGCTCATCCACCTCCTGCAGATGTTCAACACCAGAGGGTGCAGTTCCTCTGAACTGGTCAGAGTCTATGATTCAGTGCTGCATGTCTGCTACCACACCCTTAATCAACCTAAAGCATATACCTTAAAGGTGGGCTTCAGATTTAGTACACTTAGAAGAAATATCCTATCTGTATTGATATAAAGATGGATAAACATATGCACATAGACCTGCCACTCCCACGAGGTATCCAGTTTATTTTATTCTGAGTTGAGATTAGTTTTTCTTTTGAGAAGGCAGAATTTAAGTGCCATAAAACCCCCTGCACTCCACTTTGTTTTCAGGGAGTTTGTACATTTCCACCGTATTCCCAGGCCAGCCCACACAAGCAGAGTTTTGACCTCGAGGATGAAGCATAATAAATGTTCACAGCCTTAAAATGCCCCCACACCTCTGCATGTGCCCTGCAGCGTATCCAAATTCACTCCCACCCATTTAAGCAGCAAATGGATGTTATCAACAACAGCTGAAGGGTCCAAATACACGCGGAATGATAATTATGCTCCTTTTGTTTTTATATAAAATGACCGCGGAAAGCTGAATTCAGAAATGAAAAGAAATAAATTATTAAAATACAAAGTAATTAAGCAACTTTTAAAATTCTGCCTTTTTTTTTGTTAGTTTTTTTTTTTTTTTTTTTTATCAGGTAGGTCTTAGTGACTCAGCTTCTATCAACACCAAAGAGCCCGAGCCTTTTCTTCCTTTTGGACTCCATTATAATGTTGTCGGAAAAACATGCCTGGTCTATTATAGTGATCAGATAAATAATCTGAATGGAGGACTTTCAGCACAGTCTTCCTGCTCATATCTGCGCCTCTTGGTGGGCAGATGTTATAAACCCTGAAAGCAGTGGGGAGAACAGAGGGGCATCACTAATATGCATAATCCTACCTCCTGATGTTTCCATCAAGAGACGCAGAGTGCGATGGGCATTATTCTACTGAAGCCCCACAACACAAGACCTTCCCCCAGGTTCCTTCATGAACCCGACTCTTGTGTTTTCTTCATCAGTCTGCACTGATATCAAAGGAACAAAGCTATTAGCCACAGCCACCAGGTTTCTGTTTGGTCATTTTGTCCGAAGGAGCAGAGCACAGAGAGGGCCTTATTTGCAAAGGGAGAGGAGTCACTTGAAGTACCTTTGTGCTCATGAAAGAACACAGAAGAGTAAGGGTGAGATATATTTCCATTCCCTGGAAACTGCGAGGAGCTGTCAAATAGCAGGTGACAGAAGATTTAAATAGCTCTGATTTAAATAGCCCAACTTCAATCAGGAAGCAACCTTGTCTGCAACATTGTCTGTTGACTCAATGTGTTCTTTGGGTGGGAAACGGTGTCAAGTTGAGCTCCGCTGAAACAGATGTGCAGTAAATTGATAGACATGATCTAACTAGTGATTTTATGGATATATGTGTCACCGTCATCTGAACTCTGCCTCAAGTCGTCACAGTGGGGCTCAGACTGGGAAGACCATTTGTGTGAACGTTTGACTTCAAAAACTAATCAGAAACGATTATCAGTTAGCTAAAGTCCAAATAAATTTGTAGGCACAGCAATAAACTTTATTTATTTTATTTTTTTTTACTGAATTTACAACAGAATATGGTAACACTATCCAGCATAAATGGAAAGATCTCAATATTCTGATGCGTGCAGACAATCACTGTAATTTCATATTATAAATCATAAAGTTTTTTTTTTGTTTAAATTGTTATTTTTTTTTCATAGAATAATGCCATAACATGCAAGTTTCACTTTTAACAAGCCCCTCTTGATGTTATTTTAATTTCAGTGTTTTTAGAACTGACAAATCTGAAGGATGCTTTTTTTTTTGGTCTCAGATCTTCTGCTTTTGTTTTATTTTCTTAAAGGGCTTGATGTTTTAATAATGTATTATATAGCGCCATATCTTATCGAGATACTCAAAGCTCTTTACACTACAATATGTGATCTCAAAGAATAATCAGTGCTTTATCACATTTATACACCGATGAGACACACATTGGAGGCAACGAAGGGTTCAGTGTCCAGGGACACTTCAGCATGTGACTGCTGGTGGAATTGAACCCCCAATTCTCCCATTGGAGAGCAACTGCACTAACCACTCAGCCACAGCTGCTCCATATTATTCATACAGCTGTATGAATATCTTTAATTTAATTTTAAACTCAAACTCATACTGCAAACACTG